GGGGGGGGCGACTGGGACCAGCAGGGACTCTTCCTGCTGCAGCTGGCACTGGGGCTGCAAGTCATGGTGAAGCAGAATGACACCTGGTTGACAGGGAAGCCTGAGAGAGAGGGTGGGAGAAAGTGACCGCAGTGTTAGGGACACAGGCTCTGAAATCAGACAGCCCTGGGTTCCAGCTTCCGCTCTGCTACCTGCCTGCTGTGTGACATTGGGCAAGTCAGTAAACCCCTCTGGGCGTGTTTCCTCATCTGAAAAATGGGGACAATCATAGGATCTCCCAAGTAAGGTCGTCCATGAAATTTAAAAGAGACAGTACATGTAAACTATGCAGCACCAAGCAAGCGTCCAACGGGCTCAGCCATGACTTGTGTTGAAGTTCCCTGACTTGTGGAGCGAAGATCTAAGCCTCTGGACTCACACTCTTCCTCATCAGTGACTCTTTATGCCTCTGCTTCAGGGGAAGACACTGAGGCAGGGAGGTTGGTTACCAGGCCCAAGGTCACCCGGCTAGTTGACTGCAAGATGGGGATTCGAGCCAAGGCTTGCAGGCACCAGAGCTCCCAGCAGCTATGCCCTCCCTGCATTGCTTTGCAAAGGAGCCTCACCTCTTCTGAGTCAGTCTCAAGCCCCGCCTCCTCCAGGAAGCCTTCCTGGCTGGCTCCAGCACAGGTCCCTTCGGAGTCCACCATGACCCCCTCCCAGGCTCCAGGACAAGTTCTCAAAGGGAAGGGCTTGTTCGTGGCTTCTGTGAGCCTTTGAAGTTACAGGGCAGGGTTGGTGTGAAGTCACTGCTCTTTGGGATAAACAGACAAAGGGGGAAACAGCAGGTGGGATAGAAATTTAAGTTGGTGTAGAGGCTGGACCTGGAGGGAGAGAGTCAGCTGAGGGAAAGTGCACCTGGTCCGTTCTGCACCCCAGAGATGGGTGACAGTGGCTTTACCTGGGAGCTGGGAGGCCGGATGTCCTGGTCAGGAATGGGGGTTCCAGGGTATGTCAAGGCTGGGATAGATACCCCATTTCTGGGTCATCCTCAGTTCCTCATCTGCAGGATGAGGCAGTAAATCCTGGCCTCCTAGTGGTGGCGAGAGGATGTGCCCCTCTTGGTGGTCGGAACTTCAGCTCAATGGGAAAGCTGGACGGAGCCTGAATGTCCTGTTTCACCTGAGGCAGCCGCTCAGGTGTGGCTCCTCTGTGTAGGGTGCTTTCCGGGTACAGCTCCACCACACACACACACACACACACACACACACACACCCCACTCCTTGGTCACGCTGGAGTCCCTGGGAACAATCCCTCAGGAGCACCAGCGCGGGGTGCCCTGGGGCAGCACCCCCTCTACTGCCCTGACCCTGGTGTCTCCACATCACCACCACCAGGCTGTCATCGGGGCTCACCCAGCACTTACTAGCTCATTGAAACCTCCCAGGGAGTCATTTTCGTGAGCCCATGTCACAAGTGAAAAAACCAGGACTCAGAGGGGCTAAGGAATGTTCCGGAAGGACAAGAACTTGGATTCGGACCCAGGCCGCCTGGCCTGAGTCTGTGCTGGAAACCACTGCACTCTGCTGCCTCCCTGAGCGAGAGGCGTCATTAGGCAGCTTTGCAACGTGGAAGCTGACGCCGCGAGGTGTGGGCTTGGGAGCTTTTCCAAGGTCACCTGAGAAGCTAAATTCTTCCTGTAAGTTGCCCTCACTGAGAGGCTCGTTGAGCTTCTCTCTTGTGATACAACAACAACAACGGCAACAATAATAATAACCAGCAACTGGCAGCTGTACTCTCCCACTCTGTATTAGGCACCACGTACCCGTCCTAAAACCTGACATGCGTTAACCCGTCTAATCCTCATGACAGCCCCGGGAGGAAGGACTTGTCACCTCCCTTGTCGTCCAGGTGAGGCTCGGAGAGGTTAAATCGCAGGGTGAATCCCAGAGTCCACGGTGGAGCTGGGATCCAACCCAGGCGGTCAGGCTCCAGTCACCCCAACACCCCCTTACCCTCAGCCTCCTGCGCCTGCCCTGCCTGGACGGCTTTCCCTCCGCAGCCAGGATAACGGGGGTGGCGAGTCCCCTGGCCCAGCGCAGGCAAGATGGGTGGGCTTGGCCCTAGCGCAGCCCTGGGTAGTCCTGGCAGACCCCCGCTGCCCACCCCAGCCCTCCCTCTGCAGGTGTGGCCTGGCCAGCAAGCTCTGGGAGCCCCACAAGCTGCCACCGAAGGCAAATGTAAGCCTCAAGGACAATGACATGAGCCGTGACCGGAGGAGGGAACCGTTCCCCCAGCTGCCTCCCTCTGGACGCACCACTCCCGCCCTGGATCCAGTAGGTGGCATGACCGTGCAGAGCGGTGCCCAGGCCTTTAATGACCACTTTCTCAGTTTCGCAGGGCCTAGTCCCAGAAAGGGCTCCATTAAATCCTTAGCTAAGGGCAGCATTCTCCTCTGTCTCCATTTCAGCCAAGGGAAGGGGGCATTTGTCCAGTCCTCTCACAGAGGGTTGAACGCTAGAGGGCCTTCAGGAAAGGCGACTTTATTACTATTACTATTATTATTTCATCATAGCAGAGAGAAGACCACACAACCCTGTGTATTGGGAAAGGGCTTTAAAAGACCCACCTGGGACTGCCGAGGGCTTGGCTCAAGTTTCTCTCGTGTTTTCACTCCGCAGGCAGCTGGGGCTCAGTGAGCACACGCATCGCAGGCCGGGAGAGGAGGCCCCGAGTCCTGGCATCGAGACCAGGCACGTCTGGATACGGGCCTGGCACGGGGAACAGGCTCTCTCAGGATGTTGCGCTTTATCTCCAACAGTGCTCATTTCTAAGCATCCTACTGAAACTGCAGGGAAGGAAGATTCTGGAACGTGTCCAGTGAGTGAGGGAAGATACCTGGAAGGTAATTGCAGTGTGTCTGTTGTTACTGCTTAAGAGGCGTAAATACCCTTGGGGTTTTCTTTTTTTTGATTATGTTTAATGGATTTATTTCAGGGGCAGAACAATTGAATGTAAGGGCTCTTGAGGTTCGCGTCTCACCTGTGTGTTGTTTAGGATTATGTTCAGCTGAAGCAGATAGAAAAACCCAAAGAAAGAGTGTGTTAAGCAATATAGCAGCTTATTTTTCTTCCAAGTGAGCAACGTTTCAAGGAATCTAGTCCAAGATCATGTGGCAGCTCCATAAGCATCAGAACCCAGATCATTTCCTTCCTTCTTGTTGCTTGGTCACCCTTAACATGTGGCATCTGCCTCGTGATCCAAGGTGGCTGCTCCAGCTCCAGCAATCACAGGCACATTCCAGCCAGCAGAAAGGAAGAGGCAAGAAGGGTTCAACCCCCTGCCTTTGAATATCACTCCTTACATCCCAGTGGCAGACTTATGCTCATGGCCATAGCCAGCTGTAACGAAGGCCAGGAAATGAAGTCTTCATTTCAAGTGGTTTTGTGCCCAGCTAAAAATCAGGGGTTCGTGGCAAAGAAGACAGGGACAACAGATATTGGGGAATAGTTACAGTCTCTGGCACACCATAATGCTCTTCCATTCCACTCGGGAAGGATGGCCTTGCACTTTCTGGCACGGGGCCCCAGGCAGCCTGGGATTGCCCTTGACTTGCTCCTGTGTGTTGCTCTTCCCTTCGCAAAACCAAAACTACCCTGAGAGCAAGGGGGAGAAACAGTCTAGGGTGCCTCCTAGTGAGAGTAAGGGGTAGACCCTGGAATAAAGTCCTTACCCTGGCATTCAAGGCCTTGGGTCATTGGGTTTCTCACGGGTCATAACCCCAGGCAGCCTTTGCCCAGCCGGTCTGAGCCACCCACCTGCTCCATTTCGTGCTTCACCAGATTGTCCCTCTGCCTGAATGCTCCTTCCCAGGCCTCATCTGCCAGGGGGAGACCCCTGTTCAACCTCGAAGACCCACCATGGAAATGTTGCCTTGTCAGAGCAGTCTCCCTGGGCCCCTCTGGGGAGAATCAGAATCCCTCTCTCCTGCCCTCCCTTGGGCTTCCGGAGCCTTCCGTCATCCCTCTATTTATAGCCCGTTCATGTCAGGTGCCCCTGGACATGGTGCTGGGAGGGAGAGGAGGGCCCAGGCTGGGAGAGCAGGTTCTGTAACCTGCCTGGGGAAGGGCTGGGATTTTCCATGCCCCCTCATTCATGTCCCCTGGGGAGATGGAGCCCCTACACCTGCAGCAGCCTCCTCACTGCATTTCTCCTTGGCTCTGCCACGTGTCCTGGCATCCGGGCTGCGCTCATCTCCACCCCGAACCCAGAGCACAGCCCTGGGCCCGCCCCTGCCTCCACCCCTTCGTGCTGACCTGAGTAACAGGGGAGGGTAAGGGGAGGGTTAGATGGCCTCTGTGCTGGGGGGGCGGGGGGACCAAGCAGACTCAGGCCTACTCTGGGAGGGTCCTGCCACGAAGAGCCTGCCTAGGAGAGGGCAGGAACCGGCTGTCACCCTGGGGAAGGAAGGAGAGTCTCTTCTCTGACCCTTGGCTTCCCTCCTGCTTCCCTGGCAAGTCCAGACCATCCCAGTGGGTGGTAGAGAAGCATCCACCTTCCAGAGAGCTGGGCAGGGGGAGACGGGCCCACACTCAATGCCCCTGTCACCTCCTCTCACGCAGCCCAGCTCCTCTTGGGCCCCGAAGCACCTCCCAGTCAGCTCCACACCAACTCACACTGGCTCCTTCAGTGTCTCCAGGCCTTTGCTTACCCCCTGCCTCAAATCACAGCCCTCCCACGCCCTCCCTGGAAGGCCTCTTCCCGCGCCAGCTCTCCACATGGCTCGGCCCCCGTTTCTCCTCTATGCTGCCAGTCTGAATTCTGAGCCAGAGTGACCTGGGGGTCCTGAACCCCATCCACAAACCCTCACTTAAACACCCACTTCCTGGTAAAGATGCCAACCCCAATGCCAATGACATCCACCAGCTGTTGACTGAGTGCCTCCCCTCCCCTTTCACTAGCTCCTGTGCCTGGCCCTGGCGCCTGGACCAAGCCCTTGACCCTTGAGCAATGGGAGGGACACTCTAAGGAAGGCTCAGCCCTCTTGTCACCACCGAGGCTCACAGGCCCAGCTGACCAGGACCTTCCTGCCTGTTGCGGGGTGCATGACAGGCTGAGTCTAGTGCACCCACCCTGAGCCACCCCTGAACCAGGACTGGGCTCTGGCATTTAGAATTAGACTGACTGGCTATGTGACCTCGAGCAAGTTACTAACCCTCTCTGAGCCTCTGATCTTTGTAGCTGACTAATCTGGCACATAGGGCTCACAAGGGACCTGAGGAAGGGACCTGAGGGTTTGAGACCCCTCTCTTGCCTCCCTCACACTTGGAAAGTGAGGGCAGGAGGCTGCTTCATGGGGGTGGGTTAGGAGGGTGCGGGAGGACCACTGTGACTTCCAACCTTGCCCCAGGAGCTGTCCCCCAGCCCCACCTAGCTCAGGGACCAGCCAGGGGAGACCGCGCTGGCTGAGGTCCGGGCTCCTGCCCACACGAAGAAACAGTCTGGAGCGCCTCTTAGTGGACACCAGGGGAATGTCTGTCCCGGTGGTGGACAATTACAGCCGCTTCAGGGGGGGCTCTCAGCTTGGAGTAGGGGTGCAGTACTGACCATCACTGCCAGCTGCAAGTCACCTCCACTCAGGACACCTCAACGTCTTCATCCTCCAAACAGACCATGGTGACAACGCCCTGCGCAGGAGCTCCGCGCGAAC